CTACGGCCCCCCCCCCCCCCCCCCCCCCCCCCCCCCCCCCCCCCCCCCCCCCCCCCCCCCCGCCCCCCCCCCCCCCCCCCCCCCCCCCCCCCCCCCCCCCCCCCCCCCCCCCCCCCCCCCCCCCCCCCCCCACCCCCCCCCCCCCCCCCCCCCCCCCCCCCCCCCCCCCCCCCCCCCCCCCCCCCCCCCCCCCCCCCCCCCCCCCCCCCCCCCCCCCCCCCCCCCCCCCCCCCCCCCCCCCCCCCCCCCCCCCCCCCACCCCACCCCCCCCCCCCCCCCCCCCCCCCCCGCCCCCCCCCCCCCCCCCCCCCCCCCCCCCCGCCCCCCCCCCCCCCCCCCCCCCCCCCCCCCCCCCCCCCCCCCCCCCCCCCCCCCCCCCCCCCCCCCACCCCCCCCCCCCCCCCCCCCCCCCCCCCCCCCCCCCCCCCCCCCCCCCCTCCCCCCCCCCCCCCCCCCCCCCCCCCCCCCCCCCCCCCCCCCCCCTCCCCCCCCCCCCCCCCCCCCCCCCCCCCCCCCCCCCCCCCCCCCCCCCCCCCCCCCCCCCCCCCCCCCCCCCCCCCCCCCCCCCCCCACCCCCCCCCCCCCCCCCCCCCCCCCCCCCCCCCCCCCCCCCCCCCCCCCCCCCCCCCCGCCCCCCCCCCCCCCCCCCCCCCCCCCCCCCCCCCCCCCCCCACCCCCCCCCCCCCCCCCCCCCCCCCCCCCCCACCCCCCCCCCCCCCCCCCCCCCCCCCCCCCCCCCCCCCCCCCCCCCCCCCACCCCCCCCCCCCCCCCCCCCCCCCCCCCCCCTCCCCCCCCCCCCCCCCCCCCCCCCCCCCCCGCCCCCCCCCCCCCCCCCCCCCCCCCCCCCCCCCCCCCCCCCCCCCCCCCCCCACCCCCCCCCCCCCCCCCCCCCCCCCCCCCCCCCCCCCCCCCCCAACCCCCCCCCCCCCCCCCCCCCCCCCCCCCCCCCCCCCCCCCCCCCCCCCCCCCCACCCCCCCCCCCCCCCCCCCCCCCCCCCCCCCCCCCCCCCCCCACCCCCCCCCCCCCCCCCCCCCCCCCCCCCCCCCCCCCCCCTCCCCCCCCCCCCCCCCCCCCCCCCCCCCCCCCCCCCCCCCCCCCCCCCCCCCCCCCCCCCCCCCCCCCCCACCCCCCCCCCCCCCCCCCCCCCCCCCCCCCCCCCCGACACCCCCCCCCCCCCCCCCCCCCCCCCCCCCCCCCCCCCCGCCCCCCCCCCCCCCCCCCCCCCCCCCCCCCCCCCCCCCCCCCCCCCCCCCCCCCCCCCCCATGTTAGATGTTTTGGGATATATCAAATGGATAAGACTGGACTCACTCCTTAACTACTTCTCTCCAGAATGTTGCTTTGGGTCTGGAGGTATATTTTCTAACACTTAGTCTAACCAGAGAAACTGAGACTTCTAAACTTTCTTTCCACTTCTCCCTGATTTTCCCACTTCCTGACTGTTGTTTTAGCCTGTTCCCCAATAGCTGCTATTTGTGAAGAGCAAAGAACAGTCATGTCTTGGAAGAAAGGTAGGTGATTTCTACTCTATCCACCACTAAATAGACCCTACTAAGATCAGCACCACTCTGGGCACTTGGGGTGTGGAGTGAGCAAAGCAGCTGGGATCTCTGATCTCACAGGTTTACAGCTGAGTGGAGGCTATGAAACATCACTCAGAATAAGTAGAAATGGTGACGGATAGGCACCAGGTACCTACCGGCTAAAACAAGAGGCCTCGCTTGAGCAGGTGCCAGTAGCTCACGCTATAATCCTAGCTACTTAGGAGGCAGAGAATCACGAGGATCACAGTTTGAAGCCAGCCTGAAAATAGTTTTTGAGACCCTATCTCGAAAAAAAATCCATCAAAAAAAAGGGCTGGTAGAATGGCTCAAGGTGAAGGCCCTGAGTTCAAATCCCGTACGCGCAAAAAAAAAAAAAAGGCTAAAACCTAAGGGATGCTAAGCAGTTAACTGGATTAAGAGGAAAAGGAGGAAGCAGGAAGGAGCATGGGAAGTGGAGCACTCGCAAAAGTCAGCTAGACCAGAGAAATCAAGGTGCGATGCGAAAGCTAGAAAGGGAGTGAGGTCCAGCTTCTGGTCATTTGATTTTGTCTGTGTCCTCACAACCACTGAGTGAATCACTTAAAAGGAGTTAAAAGGGGTGTGTGAGAAAGGGTGACGGGTGAATTTGATCAAAGTATATTACATGCATATGTGGAAATATAACAATGAATATGCACCAATAGAATGGAAGGGAGGGAGGAAGGGTGGAGGGAAGGAGGGAGAGAGAAAGAAGAAAAAAGAAAGGAAATCCCACTTTAATTTTCTGATCAACTCATTAAAGATTGCATTCTGCTTGTTATTGGGGGTGTGGAGTGAGGAGGTAACAAAGACATGGAGGTGAAAGAGAAACAACCCCTGTGGAAACAAGCTTGCAGAGAGGATAGAAGTTTATGCAGGTGTGTGGAGTTTAGGAAGCCATTCAGATGAGCTGTTAGGAAAGCACTGAACACTGTGGTGGAGGAGAGAAGTGGTAAGGTTTGAGAGAGATTTAGGAAGCAAAGTTGGCAGAAGCTGATGAGAGGTGTGGTAAAGGTGAGTCCTTGGTTTCCGGATGTGACCTGAAGATGTGGCGATGCTATTCACAAGCATAAGGAACAATCAGAAAGGCCAGATATGTTGAGGAAAACAGCGAGCTTGGTCTGGAGTGTGCTGAGTTGAGGCGCCATGAGTGTCCAAGAGGCCGTGAAGATGACTGGCATGGAGCCCAGAAGAGACCTAGCCGAGGTGTGGATTTGGGAGCTGTTTCGCTAGCTGTTAGTGGGTTAGAGAAGTTGTCTTCAAGACTGAACGTGGGAAGAGAAGAGGGGAATGCACAGGCCCAACTCATGAGGAGCTCAACGTTCGTGGAGGTGGATGAGGTCCAAAGGAGACTGAAAAGAAACAATCAGGAAGCCAGGAAGGGAGCTTCCTGGAAATAGAGGATGTGGGCATGTTGTCATATGTCCTATTGGACATATGTCAGTTACGGCTAGAGGTCAAGTGAGGTAAGCACTAAAATGTCTGATGGGTTAAATCACATAGAAGTCAGTGCAGACCTTGGAAGCTGAGTAGGGAAGTGAGAATGCTGGAAACCACATGGAAGTGGCTTGAAGAGGAAGGCTGAAGGAGGTGAGAGAATGGAGTCGGCCAGTCCAGGAAGTTACATTGTAAACAGAAGAAGGGATTCAGGGAGTTTTCACTGTTTTTTTGGAGCTCATAGACATCTGCAGCAAATATTAATAAAAGATAATTTAATAATAAATTGAGTGGCATAGCCAGCAGAATCCAGAAGACAGTGTAGTCTGTGCAGACTTGGAACAGTAACAGTCCTCGCTGACATGTCGCCCTTCATGTGCTTTTTGTGTTCTTCTGAGAAGTGTGTGTCCTTAAGACAACCCTACAAGGCAGATGATATTGTCCCATTTTATTTATCAGAGGCATAGACAGGTTACTAAGGGCATGCCATGGAGTGACAGACAAAATTTGGGCCCAGGCACTCTGATCAGTCTGAATCCGGACTTCTCTGTCCCCTGCCTGCCTCAGTGTCTGCAGAACTACCTCTGCACATCACACTACGTAATGCCCACTGGCTAGATCTCCACCTGGCTCTCCATGGCAAGAGCTTCTGAGACAGAATGCATGTGATTTCTACATGAAGGCCGGAGTTACCGATCATTTAATGGATTAACAGAGAGCAGGAAGGCAGCATGACTTCCATAAGGAAAAAGTGTGTCCAAGGGGTTCACTAGACTCTTACCCACTGGGTAAGATTCTGACAAAGTGATGTGGGGAGATACATCTTCAAAGCTTTGCAGGTTCATTAAGCCTTTCACCTGAGATTTCCTTCCACATTAGAAAATTTCAATTACTTGAGAGTTTTATTTATTTAGGATGAAATTAACTGAGGACCTGTTGTCTTGATATTTTAAAAACCAGGCTGTTTGACATCTTACTTTTCTTAAGCTACTTAATCATTAGATGGGACCTTATAAAGGAATTCAATCACTTCTTTCAAATTATCAACCACTTTCATCTATATAGTTTGTCAGATTTTTCAGGTAAGAACAAACTTTGAATTTTTCAATATTGAAATAAAAGAGCTTGTGAGACTATGTTTCAAATATATATTTCAGGTCAGATTACCGCCCTTATGAAATAGTCAAACAGCCTCGCCACATACCAGAAGAATATAAACCCAAGCAGGGCAAGATTGATTTTGGTACTACCTACAAACAAGATTTTAATTCCTACAAAGTGCAACCTGTGACAATAGTCCGGCCTTTGGAAAGACAGCAAATTAAAAAAGGAAAGTTGGACACTGTCCCAACCTATCAAGGTAACCTGCCACTTCAAAACAAAGGAGCCAAAAGCCTAAAACTTCCCGCTTTGAAATCTGCCTCATGCTATAACTTGGGTGTGCTGCCATACTTAGCTCCCATGGTTTAGGAAAGAACCTTCTTTTCTTTGGTGAAAATAGTATTTTAATAGCAAAAATCCAAACCTGATGAACAGTTAAGAAACCTGAGTTCTTTTCCAAATGCAGCTGTACTTAGTTTTGTATGACTCAACACACATAACAATCAAAAGGTGCCATTGAACAAGAATGCTGCATTTGTCACCTTGTCACATTTAGCTGGTCTTGTCCCTTTCTTCCTACTCTAGAATGAGTTGAAACTCTGTTGTGAATGCTGGGCTCTGAAAAGTCAGATAAATAGCAACTCTTCTCCAATTTCCAAGCGAAACTATGCAGCAAAGGAGTTAGGAGATAAGAGAGCCAACACTTGTATACTGAGGCAGGCTAGCGTGGAGGATGTAAGTTCTGTCTATAAGCGGATGGTTCCTGATCCCGAACCTCAGAATAAGAGAGGCTTACCCTGGCAGACAATGGTGGATGGCCCCAGAGGGCACCTGCTCCTCTAAGACCTGCATGGCTTACATGAGAATACCTTCCTGCTGCTGGCAACTGACCTGGAAGAGTAGTAGCAGCTGGGCAATGTAGGACCAGTTCTTTACAAAAACCTATCTGATTTTAGAACACTCTTACTTTTGGAAGATGGGATCATCATTTAAAAAATAGTCCATCTACATAACAAGTTCAAGGTCAACCTGGGGTACACAGTAAGATCCTGTCTCAAAAAAAAAATGCATTGACAAAATATGACTTTAGAGTAGCCTACAAATACATCAGAGTCTAGTGGATATATGTGTGCAGAAAGAGAAGGGGTATTACAATAGCTGGTGTGAAATAAGCAAAAAAAAAAAAAAATCATAGCACCAAAAAAATAAAAGGAATCTTCAGTGGACCTGGTAAGAGCCAGGGGGGTTCAGGGCTGAGAGCTTGTGGTGCAGTTGTGTAAATCTAGGTTGGAGTCATACCCAACCTGTACCAGGCCAAGGGGCCTCGTGATGTTCTCATAGCCATCACAAATGTTTTAAGTTCTGCTGCAGGTAAGAGGTAATGGATGGCAGTAAACCATTTCTCTGCTACTGCAACTGGAAAAAAGTCTAAAATGTTTAAAATATTTGTAATGGCATCAGAAAGCTGTAAGGGGTTGCTCCCTAAGTGAGCTGAAAGAGCCAACTATGTACATCTGTGGGCATGTTTGTCAAGGGTGGCCAGCTCTGAGGATTGAACATGGCACCAGCAGAGTCACTCTACAAGGGAGAGGGGACCAGCGGACACAGTGTGAACTGGTCTGGCAAATTGGAATCTAGAGGAACCCCATTCATGGGTGGTTTTCTTTATGTGACAGACATTGAATGTTTAGGGGACATGGTGGGCTGAGAGAATGCATTAGAAAACCCAAGAAGATCCTGCAGACTTACTTGGATTAGGAGACAAAGTCCCACCAGAATGAAGGCCCTGACACAAACACAGCTCTAGTTTTGTTCTTGAAGCATTTGAACCTAGAGAAAGACCGTGTCTAAACTGAAGATGCCTTGGGATGCTGTTGTAGCTCAGTTCCTCGTTGGATTGAGGTGGTCTACCCCATGTCCGGTCTGCTAATACCGGAAAGAGCAGACTCTCCCTGTTGAAAATAATGCTGGTTAAATTCTGTGATTCTCATACACAATACCCAGTGTAAAGCAAAATGTCATGAGACCCAGATAAAAACCAGGAAGTGTTTGAGGAGATAGAGGTCAAGAAACTTCCAAAACTGATGGTAGAATCAGCCCACAGATGCAAGAAGCTCAAAAGACCAAAGTACACAAGCACAGAGAAAACCATCACTAGGAAACTGTCTTCGAGCCTCTGAAGAGCAAATAAAGATGGATTCTTAAACGTACTGAGAGAAAAAGTACACATTATCCACAAAATGAAAGAAACTGTCTGACATTTCAGCAGAATCTATGGAAGCCAAAAGACAATGGAATGGCATCTTTCAAAAATGCTGCAAGGGGAAAAAAATCTAAAATTCTAAATCCAGTGAATTCTAGAATTTTACATCTAGAAGACATCCTTTAAGAACCAAGACAAAATTGTTTTCAAACAAAAACAGAATTCATTGACAGCATAGCCATGCTACAAAACAACGTTGATTTTTTTTTAAAGTCACAGTGATGACTACATTTTCACACAAATGTAAAAGTACAACACATAAGGACATTAGCACAGAAGGAAGAAGGATGTCAAGGAAATTAAACTGCTTAGAAGTTCTTCTGTTCTAGAAGGAGTGAAAATATCAACTTAAATTTGAGCCAGAAAGATCCTGCTATATGTCAAAATTTGCATTTTTATTTAAAAAATACACAGAGTTGTAATTAAAACTCCAATAGAGAAAAATGGAATAATAAAAATGCTCTTTATTGAGGACTGCTGCCAGGGATCAAGCAGTAGAGCACCTGCCTAGCAATCATGAGGTCCTGAGTTCAAACCCCACCACCGCCAAAAAAAAAAATACCCTTTATTAATTCAGAGGAGTGTAGGAAATAAAGGGCATCAGGAAATCTAAAAGCAAGTGGTGACACAATCAGCTAAAGCCTGACTAGACCATTCGTTACACTAAATGTAAAAAACTAAACATTGACTAAAACTCAAAGATTGGTTCTCCGTACACTAAAAGGCATTTAAAAGCTGATACCAAGAGTGTGTGTGTGTAGATATATATATATATATATACATGTATATATATACATGTATATATATACACTCCATTTATATATATATATAAATGGAAAGCTTCTTTGAAAAATACAACTTATCAAAACGAACAAGAAATAAGATCAAAATAGTCCTATATCTGTCAAAGAAACTGAACTAGTACAATTGAAAGTGTAATTTAAAACCTTATGATAAGGAAAAATCCAGGTTTTCCAGCTCCCAAGTCAGGTGCAGCAGAGTGGAAATACTGTTCTCAGTCTATCAAGAACAAGGCAGATCATGAATGAGGTCATAAATGTTCATGAGTCCTCTGGAAATCTGAGATCACAGGTCAACCTTCTAGCTTGAAAAATAAGGGAAACCACCTCCACATTGAGGCAGGAATCAAGCGCCATCCCACCTGGAGTAGGGCATTCATGGGATGAAGACTTCCTGGCTTGCAGATAAATAAAATTTTCATTTAAAAAAAATTGCTGAAGGCTGAGTGAAAGTAGATGGTCCTAGAGTTCCAGAGACACTGGGGGTTCAAAACCCCTCATGGACTCCTCTCTCTGAACACCCAATGTGTGCTCCACAGAAAGATGGCACCAAAGGATAGAGTGCTTCTGACAGTGGTGCAGGCATGGAAGAGGCCTGGCCATTGTCCCTGGGAAGACAAGGAGCTCCACTGAATGCATGTGCCCACAGAACAAAACCACTGTCCCACTGTGGGAGCACCAGAAGTCTAGCACACAGTGAGAATGTGAGTGTCTATTGCAGCTTGGGGAAAGGAAAAGGAAAAAGAACCAGCAAAACAAGACCTCTACTTGGCAGAGGAGCAGGAGGTTGTCCTGGGAGCAATCCCCAGAGGCCTGCTGCATCAGGAGAGGGATGGGCACTGAGACCCAGTGGCACAGGGCCTGCCTGAATCTGAAGCTGGGTGCCAACAGCAGAGCATCCCAACACCATGTTGCTAAGCACTGCATAACACTGCCAGTCTACCCATGGGAAAGGGGAGAGCCGAGAGCGAAATCCTCTCAACTGCAAGTGTGACGAGAAAGCCGAAAGTAAAGCTGGAGCAGACAGTGAGGAGCCCCTCCAGCAAGCCAGCCTCCAAGCGGAGCACAAGAGAACCCTGAGGGGATCTGAAGGTGGAGGTCACTGAGGCCAGTACAGCAACAGTGAACCCAGACTTAACTCACCTTGGGGTGAACTGACTTAACCCCACTGAATGGACTGAATACCGGGCAGATGGACATGTGCTACCCATTTCTGGATATAAGTATTACTATCTGTGCTATACACGATGTACAGCTTTCAAATGCAAATGATATAAAGAAGAAAAAAGAAAGTGAAAAGGAAGCAATGGGGGGGCAAAGGAAGGGAAGGGGGAGGAGAAGGAGAGAGAGTGGAAGGAAAGTGAAGAGAATGGATTGCCAAGAGATGCAGCAAAACTGGCTCAGAAAGATCCAGATAGTGCAACCATTAAATCCCTATCAAGGAATTTGAAAAATTATGACTAGCCGGGCACTAGTGGCTCACGGCTGCAATGCTGGCTACTTGGGAGGTTCGAGGCCAGCCCCGGCAAATAGTTCCTGAGACCCCCATCTCCAAAATCACCAGAGCAAAATGGACTGGAGGAGTGGCTCAAGTGGTAGAGCGCCTGCTGTGCAAGCTCAACGTCCTGAGTTCAAACCCCAGACCCTTCAAAAGTATGATTAAAGTTAAAAGTTGTCATGGAAAAGGCGGAAAACATAATGAACAGATGGAAAATAAAAAATGAAATGGAAGTAGCCGGAAAAACTTTACCCTCAGTAAAGAATGCCTTCCAAGGCTGGTTGTGGTGGCACACGCCATAGACCCAGCCTCTCAGGAGGTGGAGACAGAGGAGCACAGTTCAAAGCCAGTCAGGGCAGTGTCGGCCCAGGACCCTATCTGAAAATCACTCAAGTGTCAGAGCAAGCAGGAGGCCCTGAGCTCAGTTCCTAGTTACACACACACACACACACACACACACGGAAGAAGAGGGCCCTTGTGGATACATCACAGCCAAGGGAGACGAATTTCATCAGCCAAAGTACGAGGGTAAAGAAAATGAAGCAGAAACAGAGCCAGCGTAGCGGATCAGGTGCTGTGGGACACCTGAAAGGGCCTAGCGTGTGCATTTGGAGTCCCAGAAGAAGAGAAAGAGAGCAAGATAGCAGGAGTATCTGAAGACACAATGGAGCTATTTTTCCAAAACAAGGCATGACGTCAAAGCACAGATGCGAGAAGTTTAGAGAGCCCGCACAGAATAAGCTTATGAAAAGAAGAGAGTAACAGAAGGAGATCACATTCAGGCTGCTAAAGGTGAACAATGCGAAAATCCTTAAAGCAGCCAAGGGACTAAAGGGCACATTACATACAGAGGTGCAAGGAGAAAACACACGGACTTTGTCAGAAGACAATGCAGTCACATCTTTAAAATGCTGAGGGTTCAGGGGGACCCACCTACCACATTCAAGCCCCAGTGGAAAGATCTTGCATGAGTAAATAGCCTTCCTCAGACAGGTAAAACGGAGAGGACCATAATCAGATCTCCACTACAGGAAACTGTAAATGAAATTCTTTAGGTAGCAGGAATGTGATACCAGTCAGAAACTTGCTCCAAATAAAGAAATGAAGATTCCCAGAAATGGATTTAAAAAGAAGGTTAGTCTTGACTTTTCTGGAGCAAAAAGTGGTAATATTTTGTGTGTTTGTACCAAGTGTGAAACTTAAAAGTATAACAGCAGCACAAAAAATGGGAGGTAGCAACCAGTGCAGTGGCTTGCACCTATAATCCCAGCTACTCAGGAGGCAGAGACTGGGAAGTTTATGGATCATGGTCAGCCTGCACAAAAGGTTAGCAAGAGCCTGTCTCAAGCAAGGAACCAGGCATAGCGCTGATGCCTGAGACCCCAGCTACTCAGGAGGCAGAGAAGTAGGAGGGTCGCCGTGCAGGGCTGGTCCAGGCAAAAACACAAGACCCTTTCTGAAAAATAAATGAAAAGGGCTGGAGGTGCCTCAGTTGGTAGAGCACTGCATAACAAGCACAAGGCCCTGAGTCCAGACCACAGTACTACCAAAAAAAGGTAAGAGGTAGGAACTGTAAGGTTCTTAGACCAGTCAGTGCTGTGTAACAACGATTCAGTCAACAAGGATACAGTGGTCCAAGCAAGGGTGACAGAATGGCCTCAGGGTGCATTTCAGAGAACGTGTCCCGTGTCCCTGGCATTACGTGGTGTGTGTTTGTAGATTGTGATTGAGTAAAAATACATGTTTTAAACTTAAAGGCAACCGTGGTCTGTGGACCAAGTCCAGCCACCATCTCTGTTTAGAAGTAAAGTTGTATTGACACCGCCATGCTCGTTCATGTCCGGATGGCCGCGGCTGCTTTCCTGCTGTCTTGTTAGAGCTGGGCAGATGCATCGTGGCCTCTGTGGCCCTCAGAGCCAAGCGTCTCCTCTCTGGCTATTACAGAAAAAAAGTTGCCAATTTCCACAGTAAACACTGAATAAGCGTTCCTGAGGTGCAGAATCTACAAACAGAAATACCCACTTAAAGTTTTCTGCGGTCATGGAGATGTGACATTCACGTTAATCTATGCTGTCAGAACTCATCTTGGTCTCCAAGAGCCGAACTTGGTTTGGAGAGGGAGAAATACCGTCCTCTGCTTCCTCGTAACGAGCATGGCTTTGCTCTCAGTCACTGTGGCCGAATGACTGTGTGCCACTCTAGAGGACCAGGCACACCCCTGGTTTCCTTCCAGTTACTGCAAAATAGCTTTGTACCTTTCCGCTCTCGCTTGGGAAGCACAGATTCCCTCATGCAGCTCCAGAGCAGGAGCTGTTGTGGTAAGCTCCCTGTGGACGTGGGAAGCCGGGGACCAGGGAGCTGGAGGGGAGGCTGCTTCATCTCCACTGAGCGCGATTCCTTCCCCATCCACCTGCTCACCTTGCGCTCTGCAACTGGCCTCCTCTCTGTTGTCTGCTGTCTCCTTATGGGTCTGCTTGACTGGAACTTGAGCCTGCTGTAGCTCTCCAGCTCTACCTATGGAGTTTCTTTAGATTCTTCCATCTGGCTCTTTGTTCTCCACCTCGGTTCACAAAACAAGACCACTTTTTCTTGCCACTGTTTAGTAAGTCTCCACAAAGCTAAAGAGTGACTGCTCTTGGGTGAGGTACACGCTCATCCAGACATCAGTTTCTTAATCATTTTGTCCCAATCTTGGCAGAAGTGTCTATGGGTGAGGAATTTTTCTCTTTAAAGGAGGTATCTACATAATAATCTCTCAAGATTTGGGTATTCCGGTAGACAGTCCTAGACATTAGCTCATATTCCAACACATTATCTTGCATAAAAATGTCTTTTATAAATTAATTTTTGGTATTTGGAGATAGGTATTTTGGATGAAGTCAGTTCTATTGTATTGCTCAGCTTACTACCAATAACCTCAGTTGAAATATAAACACTTCGGTCTTCCATCTGTGGTCTGAGGACACTGCGGAGAGCAGGGTTGTTACTGGACTTCTGAGTCTCGGGTCTCAGCTCCAATGAGCTGATGCTCACTTCTGAATTCTACGCACAGTTCTAAACACTTTGACAGCACTCGGTTAGGTCCCTGGCCCCAGGTACTTTTCTGCCTCCTGAGAATGCCTTAAATAGGAGATAGAGTGGAATCCGAGCATCTTCCTGGCTTCAGAGAGTATCGTGCAGTTGGCATCTCTCCTTGGAGGAGTCCTTCCCTCCAAAGCCCACATGGAAGGGCACTTGACATGACTTTAAACTTGGATGGTAAGGCTCACCTAGCACTTTTTGTTATAGTGAAAATTCTAACCAGTTCCTGAGGCTATTAGCATCATTTACCAAACTCTGCACTCACCTACAACACAGTCCTTTTGGCTTTCCATACTTAGCCCCCACAAGGCTCAGATGTGCCTTCCTTGTATGTAGTCAGATGAGGCTGGAAGCGAAAAGGTAAGTGAACTAAAGTGGGGAGGCAGGAGAAGGTAGAAAGGAAGAAGAAAACAGATCTGAGGGGAATCAGGAATCTCATACTTGATGCTAGTGTTTTGATTTCTAAAGACAATGAAGAAATGCTTGGCAAGGAGAGGTCAGTCATGATTCTTAGAAAACCATTGTTTTCTTCAACGCTTAAAATGTTTTGTTGTTTTGTTTTTTCAAGATGATTATAGACATTGGACCATTCAGAAAATTGAACTTTGTAAACCGGAACAATCTTACTATCCCCCAACTGTGAAATTTGGAAATTCAACTACATTTCAGGATGCCTATGTTCCTCAGGAGATAAATCCTGTGCAAAGTTGTAAACCTTCCCCTGTGATCAAACGTACCACGGCCCCTTTTAATGGTGATACAAGTCATCGCATTGATTATGTCCCTCTGCAGCTAGAAGTCAAGTCTGCAAAGCCAAAAGACGCTTACAAGCCCCCTGACCAACCTTTTGAGGGTCTCACAACTCACCAGAATGACTTTCAGGGCCTTTTTGGTGAAATGGCAAAAATCTGCAGACCTGGCTCCATCAGAGCCACCCAAGATGCTCGATTTGAAGGAAGCACTGAATTCCGTGACAGCTTCCAGCCGTGGGAACTCCCACCAACTGAAGTCAGGAAGGTGGCAGAGTATGTACCACCTGCGGGGAGCGTGCAGTTGAATACCACCAACCGCCTGGACCACGCCCCTTGTCAGGCCAGCCCAGCTGCTCCCATCAGGCCTGCTTCTCACAGAAGAAAACACAGTGTTCCTTTCCAAGGAACAAGCACCACGAAGGAGGACTTTCCAGCCTGGGAAAGTTGCCGTCGAGGACTGATCAGGCAGCAGCATCAGATTCCCAGCCCGTCTGGAAAATTCGAGGGCTTGAGCACTTTCAGATCTCACTACGTGCCACACGAGTTGATTCCCACAGAGAGCTGCAAGCCTTTAAATGCCGCTCCCAAGAGTTCTGCTCCATTTGGTGGTGTCACCATGTACTCTGTGGAGTACACACCGAAGAAGCAGGAGATCTGCCCAACCAGCTATGCCTCTCCTCCAGGTTATGTATTTGAAAATTCAAATTCCCAAGGTCATAAATTCTTCCGAAAGATTGCTCCCACAGTGAAAGTCTCCTAATTATCAGCTCACGGTTAAAAGGAAGCTAACACGATGCTGGTTTTCTAAGGGAAACACGATTTTTGTAGTGAAAACTAATTTATGACAGATACAACAAATCATTTTTTTATTGTTTAAACAAAATTGGAAAATGTATTATATGAAATCAGAATTTAAAAATCCATTTGGTACTTATGTTTCAACCAAGATCGTTCTTTAACGTGCGTTTCTGAAGGTTGACTCGTGCCTTCCCGTCAGAACTGCCCAACACCCTACGTCCTGTTTGATGGCGTGTTGATTATCACTTCTGCTTTTGTTTATACAGATAGCATTTGTATGGTAATTCACATACCAGTTGACATTTATCAAGTACTTTGAAACTATCTAGAGCAACATTGAAAAGGACACATGGCTTCCCCCTCAAAGAGAATAGGGCTCATCTTCCTCAGATTTCAAGACATCTACCCGGGTCCACCAAGTCAAGCTTTGGTTGGTGGTGCTGAGTCTGCTGTGCTGTCCTCACCCTGTCCAGGTTAGCAAGAGGCACCGTGGCATGCCAGGGAAAAGCTCCAGGGGCCAGAACTGAAGACTTGAGTTCAAGTTCTAATACCATCAGTTCCAATTTGTGCCATCACAGGCAAGTGACTCATGTCTCCAGGCTCTGTGCCTTCATTTTTTAAAGGGGATCCCTTCTGCCCACCTTACAGAAAGCTCGTTTGGAGAATCAGAGCATTTAGTACATCTTAATCCGTAAGTAACAGTACCTGTGTAAGGGACGGCTCGTAAATCTCTCAACGACCCTTCCTGCCTGTGTTTGCCTTTCCAAATTGGGATAATCACCTACTCAGATCTCAGGTGCTGCCCTGCAGCACAGATTGCAAGAGAACCTGATTTGCCTCAGATGTGAGAGTCGTGCGCACTTGCACTGTGCAGCTCGCCTTGTGCGGCTTCGCGACCTCAAGGATGGAGAGCTGGGACCGGAGAGACCTTGAAAGGAAAAAGTACCTGCTAGAGTGGCTCTGTGAGGGCTTATGACCCGGAAGAAATCTCCAGGGTCACCTCAGGTACTCACCCAGTGGCCATGTCGATGAGCTGCAGAGCCAGGCCCAGCGTGGAGTGAAGTCTTTCTCACCACCTCGTGTGAGAGGAAAGACAGGAACCAGGAACAATGCCGGCCAGTGAGTGTTTATAAATGCTGAAAAGTTCCTAATGAGTCCTACTGTGCCTGTGTATCACAACCAATGACTCAGCTCTGGAAGAATCTGATTTATTTTAGCATAAAGTGAATTTTAGTCTTTTAAATTCATAATATTTTGGTTAAAATACTGCTAGTTATTTCAAAGTAATTTGTTCTTATATTTGCATTTATGAGTGAAAAACATGGTATTTGAAATTTTGTATTTCTGTGCAGCACTAATAAAACATGAAAGAAAGAACGTGATTTTCACAAAGTCACTCCTATACCCAATTTTCTTTGGAAAAGAGCATTTTATTCCTCCTGGTGCATACCACAGCTGTGTTCTTAGTCCAACTGTATGGGAAGAGGAGGGAAAACCCAGGCCCTGTGCCTGATCTGTATTGTAAATGGGAAGACATGGGAAATAGAGGAAAAAACCAAAACCAAGCATTTTAATAAATTCCTAAAGTGGGTAACACCACAGCGCTCCCTCACCCTGACAGTGTTGCATGTTCAAATCCCTCTGTAACTTCACGGGGTTGGTCTCTTCCCTGGACAGGGGTCACCGTTGATAGGACATCTACTGCAATTCCCTGAGGCAGTTTGCTGCGGGCTGAGGACACTGATGAACGACTGTGTCTGTCTTCCTGAATTTTAACACTCTCTATATTAGAAGGTGTAAAAACAGATTGCAGCCCAGTACAGGGTAAGACCCTGAGTCTGGGCGTCCAGGAAGTCTTCCTAAGGAGATGAACTCTGAGCTGAATCTGCAGCAAGAGTAGGAACTTGTCAGGTCAAGAAAGTTGAAAGGACCGGCACAAACACAGGAACGGGAGTGGGGAGCAGCCACGGAAGTGGGCGACCCTGGCCTCAGACTCTTGGGTCTCGGTGAAGCACTACACACGGACACACATTCACCATCTGCCAGCGTCTAGAAGGAGTTTCCACTAAGCCAAGCTTGAAAGAGTCTGATGAAGACGATTCCCAGAAGAGCTGGGAGGAAATTTCTACCCTGTGTCCCTGGATACCTTTATGAAGAAAATAAAAGCACTGGCTCAGAAATCAGCAAGGATAGCTTTGTGGTTTAATTTTTTTAACGGCACAGACAACACAGAGTGAGCCCCTAATATCAGCTCTGGAGCGGGGTGACGGGGTATGACGGAGGTTTTTTATCATAACGAACGAACGTGCCACTCTGATGGAGGGTGTTGATAGCAGGGGAGCTGTGCACATGTGGGTTCAGGGGCTACAGGGAAACAGCTGTACTTTCCACTCGGTTTTGCTGCCAACCTTGGAGGGTGAACACAGTGCAAGTACTGTGTACAGATGAATGTAAATGGAAAAATGAGAATGAGACCTGATGAAAGTATTCCAGGAATGGGGGGGAGGATAAAGGAGAGTAATGGAGGGGTGAATTCAGCTATGATATGTTGTAAGAGCTTTTGTAAATGCCAGGATGTACCACCACCCAACACAACAATTAAAAAATATATAATTAAGACATTTTAAAAACAAAAAGTTCTGTGGCAGGAAGAATGGGGAAGTGGCGGAAGTTCACCTTTTAGAGTCTTGGAATCCATACCCCAGATTTTTATACCTTAATTTTGTAGGTTTTCTTCACTGTACAGCTACAACCCCAGGCTCTGAGAATTGCTCATAACTGTTAAGAGGACAGGAGACCTCTTAAAGTCAAACAGCAAAGGGGAGAGTGAACCTTGACACCGTGAGTTAGCAAATGTATTAAGTGGGCTGATGGGTACTTTTGAAAGGATACAGTGCTCAATGAACCATCCTGATTCTGTCATTTTGTTACTGCCTTACTCTCCCTCTGTTCACTGAGTGCTCCTCCACATGGAAGGGCAGATTTTCACCCTGCATTGTAGACAGGACTTCCATCACTGTCACCCCTCCACAAACACTACATGCAGTTTGATGGCTGCTCTCTAGGGTGCCAAGTATATCCCACCATTGTCTCCAATGCCCCTGTCACACGCTTCTTCATTTGTGGCCATTGTGGGACTGTTGTGGCTTAGAGACAGCAAACAAAACAGACCACAGAAGCTGTGTCCACAAAAGATAGGCAGGTCGAATGTCAGTCTGCTAGGAATACTAGAACAGAGATCCACAGACTGGTGGCTTATATAACACAAAGTTGCTGTCTCTGCTCTGGAGGTAGCAGGGTTGGTCCTTCTGAAGCACCGTGAGGAGGACACGGCTCCACACCTTCTTCCTGTTTTAGGGGTTTGCTGGCAGTCTTTCGGAGTCCTTGGCTTGCTGGTGACTGCCTTCAAACTCATGTGGCAGGGAGTCTCCCTGTGCGTGCAACTCCTGCCCACAAGGACACTGGTCAGATAAGGTTAGCACACTCTAATGGCCTCACTGAACTGGGTCGTCCGCAAAGACCGCTTCCAATGAAGTCACAGGCACTAGAGGCTGGAAATTCCTCTTCTGGGGGACGCTACATGACTCATAAAAGATGGCAGACAAGTACACACTGCTCAGCACCAGCAATCGTTAGGGAAGCTCAAATTGCCCTCCAATTACCAGTGCACACCTAAGAACTGGCCCAGAAAACACACCCGCTCCCCCGACCCACCAGCGCCCACAACTGGGAAGGACAGAACTGGAGTGCTCACATGGCTGGCAGGAACGCAAACGGCTACAGCCACACTTGGGAAACATTTTGTCAGTTTGTTGTGAAGTTAAGCATGCGTAAACCACATCCCCCAACAAACCCACTTCTAAGTGTTTATCAAAAATGAAGCCAAGCACGATGGTGCATGCTTGTGATCGAGGTTCACGGCTAGCCTGGGCAAAGTCAAAGTTAGCACGAGACCTATCTGAGAAACGAAGTAAAAGGAACAAGGACTGGGGACGCAGCTCAAGTAGTGGAGATCTTGCCTAGCAAGAATGAGGCCCTGACTTCAATCCCCAGTACAGAGCGAGCGAGCGAGAGAGAGAGAGAGAGAGAGATGAAAACAGGTTCACATACACAAAAAACCCCATGCATGAACTCTCGTAGAAATTACTCATAATCGTCTGAACTGGAGGCCACCCAGATTTTGGCTGGTAGGAGAATAAACATCTATCCACATAAAGCCCACTCAAAGAGCCAACCATCGATCACTCAACAGCACGCGTGAAATGCAAGTGAAAGAAGCCAAACACAGAAGGCCACACGTCACGGGATTCCATCTGTGTGAGTGTCTGCAGAAGGTGAAGCCATAGGGACAGACGGACTGATTGCCAGGTGTGGGAGGTAGGCAAGCAACTGACTGCAAAGAGGCAGGATGAGGAATTTTGTGGGTGGTGGATGATTACTTATGACACTGATGACAGATACACAACTCTGAGTTTAACGAAACCATTAGAACACCACAGTGAACGTCACTGTATGTGAATTGTTTTTTAAAAATCACCTAGAATGAGGGGGGAACCCAAGAAAGTGCAGAGCATGACAGATGCCTACAACTGACTAATTAATCACATAGCTGCACAGCCACGACTGGGAAGGAAAGAGACTGTCCAAGAATGTGGAAGGCCGTGCAAAGCTATGGACAAAAAGGACTGTATGCTAACTGGCGATGTTTTTTGTTTCTCCCGGCGGTATGTGTTTGTAATTCAAAACTACTCTATGTGAATGGTAAGGTTGAATCGAGAAAATATCTCGCAGCTCCTGAGAGCCAGGATTTTCCCTGTCAGAGAAAGAAGTTACAAGCAAGAAAAAGACAAAGGCTACCGCGGGCCCTATGGCGAACTGGCGTCCAAGGTTTTCAGAGTTCACAGACGCAGAAATAAAACGCATATTCGCATCCGTAGGTTACCATAGCTGCACACTCAACCT